TGTAAGACATATATTTGATTTGTACCAGGAGAATTCTGAGAAAAATAAAACAATGCATAACCTAAACAAAAATTTAAAAAACACAGGAAACTGCATGGACATATTCCACAGAAGGCAAGGATTTTGTCCCTGTGTATCTGCCTCTATCTCAAGCAGTTAGTGAAGCAGCGTTAATGAATCTTGATTTCAAAAAATCTTGGCCTTGTGCTTGACTGCATTACCCCCAGTACCTTCTGCTCCACTTACATCTCCCTACACTGCTGAAAGAAAAGGGACAAAGCATATATAAACACAGTATTTACCCTTTGACTTAAAATCAAAGCACTTGTAACTAAAAACCAGGGAAAGGGAGAGAGGAAGGGAGCAATGAGAATGTCTTACTGTAGTAACTGCAGCACTTTCTGCATATTTCAATTCCAAACTGAGCTGAATACTCTCATGTTCTTGCTATTAGCCCCATTTATTTCAAATTTCTCTTGAATGCTGCTGAAATCCATGGGAGAATTCCTGTTCATTTCCAGGCTTTAACTGTATTTATTTTTCTGTCTAGTGGTATTAAAGTACTAGAATCTAAATTTTCTCAAATACACTCCTTGTGATGTCTAGATCTTATTTCATTTCCTATTTTATCTCATCATCTAGAACATTTAAGAAAGGAGAGCACAGATAATGATGATATTGCTTTCAGATAGGAATGGAATAAAATCCCTTTTGGATTATCTTCTTGATACAGCTAAGGAATGCAGCTTTGCCTATGATGGAAACATGGCAGATTTTTGGTGTTTGTGGTTTTTTTTAGGCTTGCACAACTCACAGGTTAAATCAATGTTTACCATAATAAATGGTATGTAACTGATGGAAACTAATTGCATTGTCTCATAAACAATGATTTGCTGTTAAATTTTTATCTTTATTTTTTAATGTTTGCCTATCACTGCAGGACTCCCTGTGATTTCACTTTTCATGATACAATAATCTTCACTGGTTCTTAAATTCCCAGTGGCTTAATGCCTTATAACTTTGCATCAGGGGCTCAGCTATTGCCCAGCTCTTATTATCATGATGTTAAAGAGATGCCCTGCCAAGTGAACAGAACTTTATAAAATCTCTGAAACCCTAAAGTTAAGAGACCCATGTGCTTAGATTATCCCTACGTAATCCAGCAAGTGTTACTCTTTTCCTGCTATATGTAGCAGGTAGATGGAGGCAATTGGGCTAATTAAACCCAGCACCAAAATACTGGGTCTTTATAATGTATTTTTTTTAACTTCTGTTGTTAATCCTGCGTATAAACTGTAATTTATTTCCTTCTCTCATTACGTGTTAGACTGAATAGGATAAGTGTCATGCTAAAGTGTTTGTGTTGTGTTGATAAAATTGGATTCATAGCAATGAGGCTGTTGCACAGCAACGAGTGTTTTATCTTTACATTATGACACTACAGTAATTTTTGTATGTTATACTCAAAATACTTAAAGGAATGGTAGAGGAAGGAATAGTGATTTCTTTTCAGTTTGCATTTTTTTCTGTCATTTTGTGTCTTTTCCAAATGGTCTAAACTGTATTATTCTTCCTGTCAAATTTTATCAAAAATAACGCCCAGAACTTCATACAGATTAGCTGTTGGGGGCATAAAATGTTTTTCCTGTCCATTTATTTTTATTTTTGTTTACTTTTGAAGTATGAATGGGGTGGAAAATCCTTCCACTAAAAGGCAGATGGAGATAATTGAACTCCTTTCATGCACTCCCAGGTAGAAATCGAACCCAAGACCCAGAGGTGAAAGGTGAGCTCTGTAACTGCTATACCAAACTATTCTTGGTAATTATCAGCACGAAAATAATTATTAACTTTTTAATTATAGTCACAGTGTTACATCTCTCCAAGGGGTTTAACTCTACTGATTTTCAACTTGTCTTATTTTTTTGGTAGACATCCAGTTGGAACAAAGTTGCTGGATAATATTTTTGACACAAAATGGTAACATGCTTTTCAAAATGCAGGATCTATATGTTTTGTCCTCAGTGACACTTGTATGCTTCCAGATTTTGATTGCTTGGTAACACTGCTTGGCATAGTGCGTAGATTTAAATAGATTTAAATAACACGAGAAATCAGAAACTACACAGGAAATAAAAAAACTGTGTCCAGACTCTTCTCTTGTAAAAGATATAGTTTGAAATTGGGATCTATATTAATAATAATACATCCTTTAATTTTAAAATATTATTCACTCTTTGTCTGTTGTTTAAAAATTTTTTTGATAATTTTTACATATGTTTCTTAAAGTTTACTTAGCCAATGTATGAAGCCAAAAAATGTACCGATTTTAAAATACCTTCTTGTTGTGTATCTAAACTTTTTCTGAGTGTTCAGTCTTAAAAATGCTTAATAAAAGGATTTATGATCAGTGGGAATCACATGAGATATTTCTGTGCCTTTATTAATTATATAGAATCATCTTTAGTACACGTACATTGTGGTTGAGTTCTAGTTCCTGGGTATGTGAGGGTCTCTGAGTACAGGTGCTGTATTAAGCTGTGTTTCTGGAAGTGGTACTTTCAGGAAAGGCTTAGGAGAGAGAGCAGCCTATCTGGAAGAGAAATGGAGATTTCAGCTTGAGGACTGAGTATAGCAGCAAGAGTGACTCCCATCCTAGAGTGAATCAGCGCAAAGCAAGCTGAACAAAACAACATTAAACAGCAGCAAAGGCAGCACCCTAGATTCCTGCTTCTCATCACATGGGTGTGAAAGAAACCTTATTTAGCAACTGTAAAATCCTTAAATCTTCACAAGAAAATGGCAATGTCCAACAGGGCTGTAAGAGAGAACACTAAGCCCGTACTGATGTTGCATTGCCATTTTAATATTTTTCTGTAAGAGCCATTCTTTTAAGGTTATAAGCTGATATAAGCTACTGATGCATGGAAAAACATGCCATAGCTTTTGAGGACCTTCCCTGCCTCCCCAGTTCAAAACCAGAATGTCTTTAGATACTATTAAAAAAATGTACTTTTATGAAAATCTAAACCTTTGTCAGTCAAGTCAATGGGTAGGAAAAAAAGCACTATAATGGGGAATGCCATTCCCCATTACAGTAGGGGATTGAGATATTTTGCATATATTAATACCATGCAAAACTTCAAAAGCAACCCTACTGTTCAGCTCAGACCAGGAAAAGGAACAAGAGATAAGGTAGGTATCTATAAACATGTAAGGCTCCAATGATGTCATCAGCTCTCTGGAAGAAAGACATTCAAAACTAACTCAGTGCAGTTCTACAGCAGAGGGGTAAAAGAACACTAGGAGGAATGTAAATTTCATTTATAATGGCAGGTAAAATTTTCATTATGGAATGATCAGATAAGTATCATAAAATATCAAAATGATATATTATTTTAACTGAATAACTTTGTCAAAAAATGAAACACCAGCCAAAATCATATATAAAAATGCTTAGGTACCATACCTGTGCTTCAACAATTAATATAAAATTTCCAAGATGAAATTAAGGAACAAAAATATCTTCTGGGCACATTATACCCAGAGAAACACTTTGGATTCTGCGAAACAAAACTATCTGCTAATTTTGCCAGCACTGGCTGCAGGTACAGGGTGCCATGAAACAGAGGATGCTGCAAGGAACAATGAAAAGGAGAGATAAGGGTCAGAGAAAAACATCTACAGTAATACCAGGGACAGATGCTGTGAGGATAGTATTACAGGAAATAAAATCTGTTTTTTTTAAATGGGGGTGAAAACTGATAATTTTAGAAGATGTTTATTAATGGATGTTGCTGAGTAGGGAGTAAGTCAAAATACATTCCCTTATTTTATAATACAGATACAGATGCTAAAGAAAGACCTTGTGAATGAGATGCAGTTATTTTTGTCTCACCAGTAGACAGGTGATTCAATGTCAAATGCTTCAAAAAGTGATAAATTCCTTTCCAAAACCCAGTAATGATACTAAAAGCACATCTCCAAAGAATTGAGATATTTTTGAGTCAGCTATGAACTCATTCACCATTTGAGTAAGCTTTGCAACAACTGAAGCTAGCAAAGGCCAGATGAATTTGTTACTTATTAGTGTAGTTCAAAGAAACTGACAGCATCTTTTCTTCTTCCCCCAAGCCCAACCAACCAATACTGCCTTGTCTATTATAAAACTCTGGTAATAGCCAGAAACACTCTTCATGTTTATTAGTACAGAATAGTTGATGTCACAATTTCCTGCCCTCTCTACTATTTCAGCAAACAAGGCAAGCAGTTATTGAAAAACATTAAGATGATAACTTGTAATAGTAATTTTAAAAATAAGTTGAATAAAAGAAAAATTGTGTGAGTGTGAAGGATTAGCAAATCTGTGAGAATGGGTTTAGAATGTATTTATGGGAAATAAACAGTAACACATGCAAAGCTGCTGAGCTGTTTTGTCTGCAAAAAACACAGGTCAATTCAAAGAAGAATTCTTCATCATTGCAAGAGAGAATTGGAGTTTGGACAAAAGTGATTATACCTCTGTTTCTCTAAATTTAAAAAATACTTGTTTAGGCCTAATTTCCTTGAAATAAATTTATTAGAAAAAACTGCAGCTAGAGAAGTGATTGCCTGTCTCAAATCTATTGCCCACTGTGATCCCCAGGTCTGTTGCCTGCCAGCAAGCTGCACTGTTATGGGCAGGAAGTCAAGCAGCTGGCAGAGCTGTCAGCCTCAGATGTATTGGTGCTCCTGACCATTCTCAGCCTACCTACCCAGGGAAAATGGTGAATAAAATTGTGTTTTAAATAGTGCCTTGACACAGATTACTTGCTGTGTTTATGACTGATTAAATTAAAGCACATTACCACTACATGAACAGAGGATTCATCCCGAACCTGCTGATAATGGGAGACATGAGCTGCAGAACCATTTGATGGTGACTTTGTCCTGAAATTTGAACATATACACAGAGTATATGAGCATTGCATGGCTGTAGCCCTCTTTCTCTCTCCTGACAGGGAATGCTCACCCCTTGATCCACCATCTCTGTGTGTGATGCTGCCTGTCTCTGCAGTGCCCATGCTTAGGAAGAATGCTGTAGAGCTGCTGTGCTCCAGATGCAGAAGCTGCACTGTCCCCTAAACTGATTCATGAGATGAAGGCCAGCAAGGATCTGCTGAAAAAGAAGGTCAGAGGTAAATGATAATGATAGGTACCTGAAATATGGAAACTGGAGCAAATGGACTGACCATTTCTTAACAACAATGATGGGCAGGGTTTGAGTGCATTGGCTGTTCACACAGGGAACCACACAAGGCACTTCAGGCTGCGCTAAAAGTTGTTAAGAAATTCAGCTTATAGTTATTTGTATCACATTCATATCTCTTTGTCCTTATGCTTTTTTTTCCTTCTCCTCAGAATGGATGCTGTGACACTGGGAACTTCAACATCCAAAATTACTGAGGGTAAATAGTGCTATGGAAACCTGTTTAGTTACAGCTCATTAGAAATGGTTAAAGAATGAATCTACTCTTTTGCAAGAATTGTTTTAAGAGGCCTGACTGGCTAGTGCAGCCAAAGGAGTGAAGTTGTTATGTGGCCTTCAATCCAAGAGCAAGACTTTGGATTGAAAAATCCAAAGGGAGGGAGTGAAAGGTACAGGAGAAATGTTGTCTTAGCTGCTTGCAGTTGGACAACCTGTAGAGAAGGGAGTAGAAGAGTAAGGCATGCTACAAGGGTAGTTCTGTATTAGAAGAAAACAGAATTATGGAGCAGGGCAATAATGATATCAGGAACAATGCTCTCATTTTCTTTATCCTTTATGGTGGAAATAGATGAAGAATAAGGTCAGAGTTGAATCTATTAACACGAGTGAGAATCTGATGAAAATGAGAAGTCTAATCCCAGCAATAGGCAATGTAATTGAAGTACAGATGCTTCTGCAGAGTGCAGAATGGTGAATCTCTCAATCCTGCACAATCACATTTCTGATCCTACGTCATGTATATGTATAGGTGAGGGCATGTGTACAAAAGTGCATGCACAGTAGGGAGGTGCATTGTCATAACTTCTTGTTTCCAAGCAAATATCTCCAAGCAAAGATCATTTTGCACAAGAGGAATACCCTGTGTTAACAGAAACCTCTACAGATTTAATAGAATCAGCAGGTTCTGCCTGCACTGCACTGCACATGAAGTGTAGCAACAACTCCTTGGCAGCAGAGTACCCCAGTGCCTTTGCTGCTTATAGCCTCTCTTGCTTCTGATCCTGGGATGTTCAGCTCTGAAAGGATGTTCTTTTCTGATGCACTTGGGAGGTTAGGATTGTCCTATTTATTTACTCCCTCTTTCCTACTACTGCATTTTTGTTTTTAAAGTATTTGATTCCTAACTCTTTTTGGTCTCATGGTTACAAAATGTAGTGCTAGTGCATTACTGAGGATGCAGAGCTCCATCATTCCCCTCCTCTGTATCCAGCAAAAACAGGTCCCAGATCAACTGAGCATTTGGAAACCTGAAGAAAAGAACTAACTTTTCCTTCTATACCTTTATTTCCAATGGCCTGTTGAAAAAACATGAACACCAAATCAAACCAAACCAAACCTGAAAACCAAACCAACTGACCAACCAACCAAACAAAAACCCCTAAAACCCACCCAAATAAAAGAAATAGGGCCATAATCCTACCTGACATAGACTGTCATTCTATTGCCTTAAGTGTATTTCAAAGCATGAAATGATCTTGGGCTAGGACTCCTAGTCAGAGCAAGAAAGGACACCTGCCTTATTTTGATAAAACTTCCCTGTTTTCAGTGGGTTTTGCACTGGTGGTAGCTAAAAATCTGCCTGTCAGTAGCAACTGATGTGAAGAAGATCAATATTTGCTCTGATATTTCAATATCTTAGTTTTGCAACAACCAACCAAGTTATCTCCCTTGTTCTGTCAATGCTGCAGTGTTACAATGGATATTTTGATTACATTATGCCATTTATCTACACAGAACAAGAGTGCAGGTAACTAACAGAACATGTGTCCTGATGTTAGCTAGACATGTTGCTGCTCTGGATGGTCAGGCTACATGTGCATGTGCAAGCTGGACTTTGACAGTACTTATTTATTTATGCGCTATTTTTCATCAGGAAGCAGCAATATATTCAGAAATGACAACAAGTGATTTACCTTTATAAATAAAAGGATGAAAACAGTATTCCTGTATGACTGGAGAAACATATGGAGGTACCCAGAGTTCTCTGCTCTTCCCATTGTCATTGACAGGAACTGGTGGTGTTCTGTGTATTTGTTCTTAAACACAAAATCACAGAGTCTTGTCATGTAACTATACTGAATGAAGACATACAGCAAAATTCAAGTAAGGATAGTAATCTTAATTTTTTTTCTAGTTGCAGCTAATTCTTCTGTACAAAAAGATATTTAAATAACATAGGCTATAAAAGAGGCAGCAACCAGCCAGAGCGTATGTGTGTAGAAACTCTCTAATATAAATTAGCGCCTTTTAAAAATCATGGTAAACTCTGTTTTCTGTAATTATAACAAACCCTAGAGTTTTACCCATGTAATAGTAATTTTTAGTGTCTTCACCATTATTTTCCTTTTTATATATTTAACTACAACTAACTTGAGCAGACAATGTTAAGTGGGGAAGCAGATGTGGTTAAATAGCCTGTAATTATGCCTTTAGTCATCTCTTACCATCACAAGGCTCCTCCTGCTACTATGACCAGAAAAAGTGACCTAACTGATTTTACCAGCAGCCCTGCCAGTGTCTGATGCAGAATAGATGGCCTTATTAAGCAATCAGAAAAAAAAATAAATAAAAATCAACCATTACAGTGGAATAGTAATCAGCAGTGTTTATACTAGTCCCACAATGCACAATCAGAACCATGAATTCTGCTAATTGGGTACCTTTTGCATCCAGAGGTGCCTGCAGTAGGAAACAAAAGGGACTTGAAAATTAATGTTTGTAGCAATTAGTTTCTGTCTAAAGGCTTAGCCCAGTTCATGGAAGCCATGATTCAAACACAGATTATTATAGTAAGTATGGTATTTAAATGTCCTCTGTCATTATTTAGCATCAAATTTAGCATTGCAGGACTAATTTGGATTTAGTCTTTAAAATATGTTTGTAGGGAATTTTTAAAGTCCCCAAGTGCAAACCATTTATTTTATGCTCTTTTATGTTAACTTTTCAAGACTAGCAGTCCATTTCAGATTCACTGTAGAGCTGATTAAATGTGTTTGCTGTTGAATAGATGAGATTTACAAATTACATATTGAAGAATGTTGGACTGTTATTTTTCACAGAATGATCTGTACTTTATGGCATTTTGAGGGACTTTATACTTCATAGAAATATAAGGACTGGAAGTTTTTATTTATAAAACATGGCTACAAATTCACACCAGTGAGTAGTGGTATACAAAGTTTTAAGAAGAGAAATATAGGTATGCAATTTTTGGAGCAAATTATTGGTGCATTTTGAGGTGAACTTCAGTGAAAGCTCAGTGGATTATGTTAAGCTGGTTGCACTTTTACGCTTTTCTTTCCTTCGAATCTTTAGCATTTCTGATGTAATAATATGATAGACCTCTGTTCTTCAGTCCTTACCAATACAGACTCCCTGCTGTAGGTGCTTAAAGGATAAATTAACAGTAGTACAATTCAAGTAACCCCTTCACCTTTGCATCTAAGAATCAGCTGCATGTTCTTGCTTTGCTAAAGGTGTCCATATGGCTACAGCAGGACTACAGCAGTGGCAATAGCATACAATAATGCCTAGAATTCAGGAAAAGAAACCTTAGGAAGATATATGAAAAGAGGCAAAAAGTCTTTAAGTCAACCCTCAGTCTTAGCTCTGCTCTTTAAAGGTTACAATGAATAACGGAAATGTATCATCTGCAATTTGTTAATAAGTTGTCACCCTCATTAGTTAACTACTGTTTAATCAGTATGTGATTAACTGTGTGACCTTAAAAAGATTGTTATTAATACAAAACATTGCATTATGAAACCATTAAGTTATAGGAAAATATTGGTACTTTGAAGACAATCAGAATGTTAAGTGTGATAGTTTTTAGAGATACTATACCAACATTTCCTCTGACTGATTGCATTACATATTGATAGCAAGTATCAGTATGTAGTGCAATCAGTCAGTGGAAAATGAGTGAAATGTGAACTAATGAGAGCTAATTGTCTCATATAATAGCAAGGACACAGAATTCTATCAATTAAATTAGTCTGAGTTGAAACAACTATCAGTGTAATAATGTTGATAATATCAACCAAATTAGATGTAATGAAATAAATGGTATGCTAAAGATCAAGGATACCCATTGGCTTCAACCCCCACCTCCTGCTAACTATGGAGAGAGCCTCATGACTTTGGGCTCAGTTTGCCTCAAGTTCTGCCCAATGCACAGCCTGAAACGTGGTTCTGTACTCAGGGCACTGGTAGTGGGGACTTTGTTTTAATTACTGCAATTTGCATCTGGCAAATGGGGGAAGCCCTCTGGGAGGCTGAGGCAGTGAACAAATAGCAGTGAGATGACATTACAGACTATTGCTAACTTCAGCACAGCTGTGGGTGAGAGCAGGCACCGGCCTGGGCACACCAGGTGTTGGACCTTTTGTTTTTTCCTTTGGAAAAACTGCAACTGAAGATCTGTAATGAGTGACCAGTAACAATCTCATAGTGCTCAAAAGCTGCTTTCTCTCCCCTTGCTTGGTCCTGTTCTTTCCACTTGCTCTTAGGCATGGCTTCCAAACCTGTTCCAAAGTTGTTCAAAAACAACTAAACCACATGGGGACTGAATGATGAGGGTTAGGTTTTCAGAGAGATGCTGAGAATACAGTAGCTCTCATTGAGGCTGACTGGGATCATCAGTCCTTCAGCCCTGATATTAGGAGTTCAAAAGGAATTAGAAGCCAAACATTACCCACTTCTCGGCTTCAAGACTCTGAAATTTCTGCTTTGCTCTGTTTTGTTGTTTCACCTCCTCATCCCCAGTTTTAGTGATTCTGTGATCTAATTCTTGGGACCAAGAGAAGCCCATTAAAAGTCAAGTAAATCCATCAGTCACTCCTGTAACAGGAGTTGGGATTATTAACAAGAGGAATTCTCAAAACTAATAGAGAACATTTATCTGGGTTTATGCAATAATGCAGAAAGGCA